AAAAAAAAAAAAATTGGGGGGAACAATTTTTTTTCCGTTATCAATGCAATCGTAGGACTTGGAAATTTTCTGACTGAAAAGCCAAAAATCAAATTTCGGCCGTCAGTCGATCTAAGAACGCCTCAAGCATACATATATAGCTATAGCTGTATAGCTCTGATCCTCTCCCCCTTCTCCACAACTCTCCGCTCTCCGGCTGATCGGCTTGGACACACAGTGTATCTCCTGTCTCACTTTCTCCTATTGCATTGAAGAAAAAATATCTTCAATAATTTTTACCTCGAAATTTTTAGCGAGACCAAACAAAAGTAAAATACCAAATCGGTAGGAAATTTTCCGCTCTACACGCTGGTATTTTTATTTTTGTTCGATCTTCTACCGTTTACGAGATATTAGCAAAATAAGTTTTAAACGCTGTTTTTACGGCTCCCAAGAGAGTTTTCAATGTTCTAAGTATTTTTATCGTAATCTACGCATTGAATTACGTATAATATCAAAAACGACCCTTCGAGCATCAACTTTTTATTTCAGGGGATTTTCTATCGGTCTATATATTCACCCTGTACTTAACAAGTATCAAGCTTTTTGTTAACGTTAGGATGAAAAAAGGTTATAAAAAGCATTTCGACAAATTCTCTCTTAAATTTATTTGTTTCTCGGTCCAAAATTTTAACGGAACTAAAATCGAAATTATGTCCAAAATGGAACAATGTAGGCAAATGACTGAGTTTGGATCATGTTTGGAGACAGCACGCTTGTGTTCGTGAATGCGGACAGTAAGACGACGTTTGCGCTGATCTATGTAGAAGACTCCACAATTATATGTTATTCTGTATACTATGCCACTTTTTTGTAGTTTAGGTGTCGGACCTTTGCCCAATTTGATGATATTAGTGAACTTATTTAAATTTTGGAAAACAACTCTTATTTTATGATTGGAAAAAATTGAGTGAAGAATCTTCCTAAGGTCAGGGACATACGGAAGAACAGCGAAAGGGAAAACACGATGCAAATCGTCGGTAGGTGGAACTACTGGTTGCCTCATAGCATGATTTAGGTAGTTACTTTTATTGATTCTTTTGATGATACTGATTCTTGCTTTGATGTATTTTTCTACAAAGTGTGGAGGGTAGCAGTTTGCGGCCAAGAGAAATCTCGCTTGATTTATGTTGTCATATCTAAGTTTTTGATGTGCAAGTTTGAAGCATTTGTCACTAAGAGAAAATTTTATGGCTATTTTTTGTGAAACAGGATTATGGAAAAAATAATTGAGAAGTCTGCCAGAAGCAGAAGGCTTCCTGTACAAATTTAATTCGCATATAGAGTGTGGAATACGTGTAATAATTATATCAACAAAAAGAATGGACCTATTGACCTCATGTTCTACTGTAAATTGTATGAAAGAGTTCAACTGATTGAAAATTTGAAGAATAGTATCAACACTGTCGGAACGAACAACTGAAAAGCAGTCGTCCACATATCTTCTATATAACAAGCAAAATTTACTGCACTTTGGTAAAAAAGATTTCTCCAAAGATTCCAGAATGATTTCCGCAATCCAAGGGGAAGTGCAACCTCCCATAGGGGTGCCACAAATTTGTTAGTATATGTGTTGATTAAAAACCAAATAATTAGAATTAACAAGATAGTCCAGACCATCAAGAAACTTCCTCCTGTTAATGTGCAATCTATCCAGTATGTGTCCCAGTTTCTACCCTACGCTTTTTCTAATAAGGGAAAAGGGCAAGTTAGAGTACAAGTAAACAATATCATAAGAAACCAAAGTATAGTTATTAGGAATAACAAGGTCTCCCAAAACTGATTTTATATCATGTGAATTTTTTAGAGAGTACAGAGACTTCTTGCAAAATTTATCAAAGAAAGCAGAGAACCATTTGTTAAGTGTGTATGTGGGGGAACCAATGGAAGAGACAACGATTCGCACAGGCAACCCTACCTAATGGACCTTGACCAAAACCATGGGCTTTTGCTAAATTGCAACCACTAAGGTAGTCACGGTTTGGTTCACGAATTTTGGTGCTCTCAAAAACACCTCTGCTAGACCAAAATTGAACCAATTTTTTTGTGGAATTGATGAGCCTATTGAGATGATTAGTCCTCCCGTTGCAATCCTGTTTTTGGTAATAATTATCATCGTTAAGAGAAGCTTCAACCTTGGTAATTCAATCAGATCTGTGAATGACGACTGTGACGTCACCCTTGTCAGCTCTGGTGACAAGGAGGTCCCTGTGCTTACTAAGAAATATTTCAGTTGCCGAGAGGTGATTGGCGATTGTTTTGTCAAAGTATGTGTTTCTGTTTATATTAGACGTCCTATTTTTTATGGCAGAGATAAAGGTTTGTCTATAATTTTTTTGGATAAATCTATATTAATCTTATCAAAAGTTAAAGAGTTCTCTAATGGCTTAAAAAGCTTAATAATCATGTTTATGTCAAAGTTATTCACAAAATTAAATTTTGGGCCAAGTTTTAATATAAAAATAACTGAGTCTGAAAGTGTTATATTAGTTGAATTTTTACAAAATTGCTATGCTTTTCACTGTAAATATCGTTGAAAGCTTAAAATTTTTCTTTATACTCGTTAACCGGGTTAAAGGCGTGAGAGTAATTAGAGTTATTTTCGGTAGTACGACAGCCAGAGATTAAAATTAAACGTGTAAATTTACTGTCAAGAGAGTTGCGAAAATGGGAGCATTTTTTGCAATAGGTTTTGTTTGAGAAATATATAAGAGCTTCTAAAAATTCTTGGCCAAAGTTTTTCGCAATTTTTTGTTTACAAGAAAGTAATTTTTATTTAATAACATAAATAAATCTATGAGAATCTTCAATTTCTATGTTGAGTAGTTTTTTTTTTGTGTGAAAGATATTAGAGAAATGTTCATTCTTGGATAAAACAGTTTCAAAAGAAAACTATGGAAGTAACGCATGCTATTGTTTATATGGTTTGGAAGAAGGTCGTTATATCTGCATCTTAATAGGAATGAATTGTGTAGTCTCTCTTGTGACAATTCTTGGTTGAGAGATAAAAGTAACTTACATAAATCAAAATGATAATTATCGGTGGTGACTCTAAGTTAAATACAGAATTGTGGTAGGAAATCTTTTAATACACGTTATTAATTTCATAAAAGTTATGAAATGTATACCTAACACTGTAAGATTTCCATAAAACCGAGTTCAATCAGTCACTAGTAAAAAGTTTCACTTTTGCCAGAGGTCCCGAGATCCACATCTGGTTTTTTTCATTTACTTTTATCAATTTGATACTTACTTTTAAAATTGTGTTATTCTGCAGCAGAATATGAAAATGAGGTACAGGTAGTGAAGCTTTAAAGACAGACACACTTGGTATAGTTGGCCCAAGACATTGTAATATAAAATATTCTAAGCGTGGTGAGAATATTGCATCAAAATACTGACACTTTTCTTCTTGGGCTGAAAAAAAGATTTATATAATTAAAACATAAGGTTGCAACCCAGATAAAAATTTGTATCATATTTACTAAAAATTTGTTGTTAATCGTAATTTAAAAAAAAAAAAGAATCAGCTGTTATTCAGTACTATGTGACTACACAATAACATACTCTCCAGATGTGCCTACCTCTGTTTGTCAAACTTATGTAGCTTATTAATACATATGTAGCTTGGCTATACATATTTAATTAAAAAACTTTTTTTTGCATAAAATAATCATCCAATTATCATACAAGTTCTATTAGCAATAAATGGAAAAGACAGAGTATAGGGTGACTAAAAATTGTAAAGCTACGTATTTTGGGTCCCCTGGAAAAAGACAAAGTATACTTAGGCCACAGAAGTTATCTGATTTATAATGGCAAATTAAAATAGTTCCAGACAGATGATTTTGCAAAGATAGTCGTTTTCAAAAGTGAATAACAAAACCCTGAAGTTCCTTGAAAGTAAATGAAAAAGTATATTCTTCAAAAGTTGTTTTAAACTTTAAAAAACATAAAATATTTAGATTATTTTTTAATTTTACGAGGGCATGTTAAAAAATATTTTGTTCATTAATGCTGATTCCGATATATTTTAGAACCAGCCTCCTTGAGTCCAAGGTAATTAAGTTTCCTTAACTATTTATTTGAATGATTTCGAAAAAAAAATTTCAAACTTGAAAAAATTTTAATCATTTTTGACTTTGGAAAGAAAAACACATGCATGCATTGTTAATTTCACCTTACAAAAAATTATTGTGAACGAAAAATTTACTAGTTTTTGAGATACTTTGTTTATCTATTAAAAAGGCCTACGATGTTAAATTAATAGTTAAACTAATATCATGATCACAACTAGTTAATCGAGGGCTCACGCTTTTTATCATTAGTCTATTTTATAAGCCTATTAATACCGTAATAATTTTTATTAATCTTAAACTTTCAAATGGCATTAACATTACGAAAACTTTTACGGACTCTGTTGATCCAGAATAATTCAACAACAAATAAACGTATTATCATGCAACTTTTATATTTTAATTACTAGTGATTTTCTATGAATTAATGGAAAAAATTTTCGTGGGCAAACTGAGATAATATTTTTAGTTGTTTAATGCATCAAATATTCACTGTTCAAAATTTATGGCTGTAATTAACGTATAACGTTTGTATACATCTTTCCAAAACTTACAACTTTGTTAATTGATAAAATTTCACTAACAAAGAATTACCCACATGAAAATAGTGCAGTGTGAAGAAAGTAATGATTACTGAGAATATAATAACTTCATTAGTTCTAGAGGCAGATTTTTAATCGATCAAACAACGTAAAAATGCAATAGAGTAAAAAAATTTTTGAATCTCTTGTACTATCAATCCGATTCTATCAGTTTTTTTTCAATTTTGAGTAACAAACGATAATAACGAAAATCTAGTTACAATTTGGACATACAAAAAAATACTTGTCACGAACAGTTGAAACTTTTGAAAGAGTCTTTGAATTCTTTAATTAGGTTATCTTACACTTAAAGTACTAAAAACGTGTATTTAATGTGTTTAAACGTTGAAATGCATAAATATCTCACATTGAGTGGAAATTAAATTTCAAACATGCCCACGTTTAATCTAGATAGAATCAGAATATTTAGTTAAACAGTTGAACTAATCAAATCTTAATTTATCCAAGTATTTTTTGTGTTTTTGACACAGAAATTTTATTATCTCCATTTAATGCAATATTTTATGTTCATCTATCTTGATACATTTTGATATTCAACTGATATCTTAATTTGCAGCACTATTGCAATCATCATCACTGCACGTACTATCAGCGATTGTTATCAGTGTCTCGTGTTCTATGTCTTAATAAATTTAGCCATGACACTCCACTGACAAGTGTAAGCACTTTAAGCTGTGTTTGTGGTCCCCGTAGCATTTTTTCTACAACTTCTTGAATTTAATTGGTTCATGACAATTATTGGCTTATTATCTCAATACAATGCTCTAATTAGTTGTTGTCATTTCCGTTCCGTACCTCAAATATAAGAAAAAGATCAAAGTATAATGAAAGGTACCAGAGGTAGGAGATTATTTTTGCTCTTTCGCATGTTTAAATCATTTAATTGATAACAATTAGCCTTCAAACTTAAAAATTTACTATAATCTCCACAATAAGTAATTATTTATTATAATATTTTATCCAAGTATATCATCCTTTTAAAGTGGACGCATTAATCACTTTAAAAAATTACTTCTGCTTGTACATGTTCCAAAGTTTTTTTTTTTCCTTTAACTTCTAGAAAAATAATAGTAATCTTAATACAAAAAAAAACATGACAATACATTAATTTTTGCCTAAATTATTATCAAAAAATGGTGTGAAATGGAATGATACGGCAACAACAGATTTTTAAAATTGACGGTCTGAAAAAAATGTGAGCCCTGGATGAGCTTGTGAAAACTTTAATAGCTTTATTATTAGTTTAAGATTTAGGACCTTATCAATAAACAAATAAAATACCTTGAAAAATAATAAATATTACAAAAAAGTTTTTTTTAAAGTTAAATGGTAACGAGACACGTATTTCACTCAATTGTCTTAACTGTCGCACTTTTTTATTTAAAGTAACAAATTTATTAAATTTTTCGAGACTTTGATCATTTATTGAATTATTTTCTGCGATTATTTGAAAAGAACTGTTAAAGAAAAACTGATTGGGGCTTAAGTAAATTGGTTTCCTAAAGCCTACGATTCAGCTAAAATAAAAAAATCTTGTTGTCATTGCAGTACTGGAAAAAAAATTTTTTTTGTATATTTTCACTTAAAAGCAATTTTTAAACAATTTTCTGTTTATAACACTTTTCAGGAACTGCAGGAATTTATTATTTAATCGTACATACGTAAACTTTCATGAATAGTCTTTTGTTAGGAATTATTCTCATCATTATATCTTATTTCTGCTGACTATGACAAGGGAAGTAAGGTGTTTAGTAGTTGCTTAGAGATTTGCCACTCTTCCAAGGCCAATAACTATTGTTTTTTTTCTTTTTAAATTATGATGATTGAGCATAGTGCTTTTGAATTTTCAGCTACTAAGCTTAATGAAATACATCCTTGATTTAATATTAGTTTTAGAATAAGGGCTAAATCTTTATAAGCGTAATAAATTAAAGTGAAAAGTAACAAATGATGCTTTTAATGAGAGAATCTGAATTTTATTAAGTTTCTAAGAGAATAATAAGCTAATATAGTTATTTATCATACTCCTATACATCGGTTACCGCAAACGTCGCATGTTTGATTTTTAGAACATTTTCCAACAATTGTGTAATCATTGTTACTACATTCAGATTGAGGTTAGAAACTTACTACGTTGCATATTACCGAAAGAGATTACATGCATTAAACGATAAATTCAAAGTCATACCCGAGTTCGACGCGTGCTCTATGTAAAAGTTTTCTCACAGCTCAAAAAAAAAACGTGTTTTTTTAAAAAAAAAGCTTTTCTGCTTGATCTACCATTTTAAAAAATGAAAAAAAAATTTAGGAACGTAAAAATTCTATAACAGAAATACAATAATTTTTTTTAGATTTTTTCGATTATAGTTGAGCTCATAAAAACTGTCTGAATTTTTTCATGGTTCTTGAGGTTATGTAAGCATTTTTTGGCCAACTTCTATAAAACACTGTTTTATGTACTTATCTACGTTCTTTCAAAGTATGGTCCTTAAAAAATTATTTTTCCACCGAAACATCATAAAAATTAGTAACAACTATTTTTTCAATCCTTTTTTTTTGTTTTTTGATACATAATCACAAAACTAACGCTGAAATAATTATTTATAAACATTTTTATTCTAATTTTTAAAAATATTGGAAAATTCCACCGACATAACTACTAATATTGTATCAAACGATGCTCTAAAATAAAAGTAAGATTTAAAAAAAAATATATTTTTGTAATATTACCTTAAAAATACTTGTCCAACAAATGTTTAAATATTAAAATTGTTCTGCAAACTTTTTTGCTGTTTTTGTAGCTGCAAAGGACCGGTTACAGTCATTTTTAGGTACGAAAGACTTTATTTAAGGTGCTTCGCTTTGCCAAGTTTACGCGTTCTTATAACGCAATTTGCTTACACTTCTTCCTTTTTAGTCCTCTATACTTGTTCCCCTATGCTGAGACTTATATTTTACAACGTTTACTGTTATAAATATAGTTAATATTATCAATCTAAAATAAGGGGGGATAATTAGAACCACTACATTAAAAAAGAAACACTCACTTGGAAGTAATGAGTTATATTGGTTTGAATAGGAGGAATAAGAAAAACAAGGAAATATAAATAAAATATACGAGAAATATGCTAAGGGGGCTCAGTAGGTTCTCGTATCCAATGGGGCTCCACACTTTTACCAAGGTTTTTTCTATGTAATCTTATTCTCTGATTACGAATTTTAAGGGGGGAAAGTCTAAATTCTGAGGAGAAAAGGGTTATGAACATATTTTGCTGATAAATTAAAAAATTGTTTAAATGTGCACATAAGAAGTTTAACTATTTTCTTTGACCAATTTTGAGCAAAACACATTTTCACAAACTTTTTTTACGATTCGTGGTTTTTGAGTAAAAAATTCCCAATGTCCTAATAATCACGTTTTTTACAATTTTAAATTGCATGTTACACATTTATTTAACAATTTTTGAGGACTCACGAAGGTTTAAGCGTTTACTTGAACAATAAACTTTACTTTTATTCAACGAATTTACTATTGTAAATGCACAAATTTGATATAACATGCCCCTATCAGTATACGTTTTTAGTGTTTAAAATCTCTTAATTCAGTAGTACGGGTGACAGTGACAGTTAATAACATTTCTCGCAGTTTTCAAAAACAGTATTAAAAAAAATTATACTTTCTGCAGAAAGAAAGTTAAATAAATGTATTATATCGTGATTCATGTTATAGTTTCTACGT